CATGGTGGACAGGAAGCAGAGTGCAGCACTAACAGGAAGAAGCCAAGGGCAAGATACAGCCCCAAGAACACACTCAGTGACCTTTCTCCAATCATGCCTTACCTTCCACAGTTCCACTGCCTGCCAAGTATATTCAGATTTTTAACCCATCAATAGACTAAACCATTCATTAGATCCGAATACTCATAATCTAATTGTTATAGACAGTTCCAAGTGTGCTTTACTCTATTTCCTAGGTTGTTTCTCAACCCACTCATGTTGACAATCAAGATTGGCCATCACTCTCTTAGACAAAGCCAAGACTCCTGGATCCTAGTTATTCGCCACCTCCAGGGCAATGGAAATGGCTGGCTCTCCAGTGTGTGATACTTTGTTTGCTTGAAAGCCTGGTTACAAGCTTTCCTTGGCAAACATCACACTTATTCAGGACCATCCCAGGCAGCCCTGGACACCCTTGCCCTGTAACTGGGACAGGTTTCAGCACACCCCAGAGCAACAAACAGCTTTCATGCAGGAAGAACTGTAGGACAGTGCTACTTATACCCGCAGATATCCCAGGAGCAAATGTGGAGACAGGTTTTGACAGTGTTAGGTGGCCAGAGTGGAAGAAATGAACACTGATTGTGCAGAATGTACTGCTGTAGGTGGACTCAGCACAAGTTTTGTTCAGTGAACATCTGTGCAGCTGGAAGTGGCTCTAACAGCTTCTTGGTTGTGTGGGTTGGTTGGGGGATTTCAGAATCCACAGCTCAGGCGATGGGAGCTGTGGCACAGGTTCTTCATGCCCAATCTGAGGACTTCCCCTTTCAGAGCCTTAGAGCAATGCACAGCAAGGGAGTCTCTTCCCCCGAGAAGCTCCACATGGGCTGTGCTCTGTGGGTCTGTACATGGCCCGGGCCAGCCTCACTGATTTTGGTGTGAATGACATCCCCTGGTGGCAAAGGGTCATCTTTTTTTTTTTTTTTAATGGATTGTGGGGCTTGAACTCAGGGCCTGGGAGCTGTCTCTGAGCTTCTTCGTACCCAACGCTAGCATTCTACCTCTTGAGCCACAGAGCCACTTTTGGTTTTGGAGCAGTTAACTAGAGATTAAGAGTCTCATGGGGACTTTTCTGGCCAGGCTGGCTTTGAACAATGATCCTCAGATCTCAGCCTCCTAGTCATCCTAGTAGCTAGGGTTATAGGCATGAGTCACTGGCACCTGCCTGTAGAGGGTCATGTACCAATGATTACAGACAGCCTGGGTAGCCATCAGGAGTGAAGTGACCAGGAAGGCATGACTGTCAGGATGTTCCCAGAGATCTGCATCCCTAAGAATGGAAGATGCCTGAGCTACGCAACACGTTCATAAGCAATGTTGATTAAGATAATGATGACTAGCATTGTGATGATTAAAAAAATCTGTCTGAAGTCATCCCTGGGGGTCTGGTCCCTCCATCCACATCCAAGCCAGGGCCACGTGTGACCACAGACTCATAGCCTGGGGCGCTGGCCTTCTCTACACCTGACTGAAGGACTTACAGAGACGGGTATTGGTTCCAGATGGCTGGTAACTGCTAACACATAAAAACATCACTCTGGTCTGCTGGTCAAGATTGGAATCTGGTCATCAGGTGACAGATGGCATCTGAGTCACCAGAGGTACAGCAGGGCTACAAAGCCAGACTCAGGTTAGCTCCTCTGTTCCTAAACATGTGATTCTGACCACTGCCACAAACCCTCCAGGGCTGTTTGACGCTGAGAGCGAGGAGGGGAGGCAGGGCTCAGAACAGTTTTTTGGAACCTCCTCTTGCTACCAACCTAGCGAACCAAGTGCCCAGGTCACCCTACCGAATGACCCTACATGCCACCACAGAATCCTGGGCAAACACTCACCTTTGTATGAGCTACTCTGACACGTACCAAGAGACTAAAGCTGTTTGTTAGAGGGGACGGGCAGGATCAGGCTGTGTGGCAAGGCTGTTCCTCCTCACTGGCTTTAGGACAGCAAGGTCACGGCTGGGGGTGGAAGGCAGGGGGCCGTGAGGCCTCCATTCACAGGAACTGCATCCCAACAACACTGCAACTGCTCTGCAGACACCTGTTTTCCAGGAAGCAGTTCCTGGCTCACTATGGTGCTGTGGTGGAGCTGAACCCACCACGGGATGCTGAGCAGCCGGACAGACTGAGCTTGCACCATGACCTCAGTGTGTGCTGGCCCATAAACTCACTACTGGTGCAGGGTACACCGCGGCTCTCTGCCCTAAGGGGGTGGGGCACTTGCTCATGGGCCCAAAGTGCACTCCCCGCTCCACCAAGGCTCACCACTGTCTGCAGTGGCTCCGAGACCAGGAGGATGCCACTCCCCAGCAGGCAGGACGACAAACTGAGCATTTAATTTCTACTTCCATAAGCCTGACCATAAGGACAGACTGCCAGGGATCCTTCACTTAATCCCAGGATTAAACAAAGGAGAATTTCACAGAACCCAGTTGTAGGAGGCCGTGTTGGTCTCTCCAGAGAATGAAGCTGGAAACAGAAAAGCTGTGGGCAGAATGTGATTCCTCCCGAGCTGGGGCAGCTGGGCCTTCCCCTTCCCCACCAAGAAGACATGCTCTGTCCCACTCCTATTCTGCACTGTGCCATATCCTGCCTTGCCAAACCACCCTAATCCTCTTGCTTTCAAGTGTTGCCATTTCTAGCTTCCTTACACATGGCTGACTTCCATTATACTTGCCATTCTGGAGCCTACATTTTCTTTTTTAACTAAAAAGGAAATACTCTCAGAAGCCTTTTGTTGTTATTGTTGGTAGTGGGGCTTGAACTCTGGGCCTAGGCACTGTCCCTCAGCTCTTCAGCAAGGTGAGTGCTCTACCACTTGAACCATAAGCCCCACTTCCAGTTTTCTGGCGGTTTATTAGAGGTAAGAGTCTCGAGAACTTTCCTGCCTAGGCTGGCTTTGAACCATGATCCTCAGATCTCAGCCTCCTGAGTGGCCAGGATTATAGGTGTGAGCCGCTGGTACCTGGCTTAGAAGCCAAATTTTTATTCTTCCTAATGGCTCTGTGGTATTCTATGGTAGGCCTGCTCCAGAATTGATGGAACTGACCTCTACGGGAGAGCCGCTGCAGGAGTTGGGGCTCTGTGCATACATACCCCAGGTCTGATTTCTTAGCTCTGAAGGGCATTTAAATGACCACTGCTGCAGTCTGTATCCAGAAAATACCCAGATCTTAGGATAGAAGCACGCTTTGCATGGCAACCTAGCTCAAGCTTTGAAGGGAAAGTGGCTGGGAGGGGATGAAGACACAACTTCTATTAGCACCAGAAGTGATGTCACTGGGTCAGGCCCTTGGCATCCAGTTTTTGGGTATTACTCATTCTGGCTAATTCTTCTTCTCCTTTTTTTTTTTCCGGTCATGGGGCCTGAACTCTGGGCCTGGACGCTGTTCCTCAGCCCTTCAGCTCAAGGCTAGCACTCTACCACTTGAGCCACAGTATCACTTCCAGCTTTTTCTGCTTATGTGGTGCTGAGGAATGGAACCCAGGGCCTCATGCATGCAAGGCAAGCGCTCTACCACTGAGCCACCTTCCCAGCCCTTATTATTATTTATTTTAGTTGGTTGTAAGGCTTGAACTCTGGGCCTGGGCACTGTCCCTGCACTCTTCAGCTCAAGGTGAGCGCTTTACTGCTTGAGCCACAGTGACACTTCTGGTTTTCTGGTGATTAATTAGAGATAAGAGTGTCACGGACTTTCCTGCCGGGGCTGGCTTTGAACCATGATCCTCAGATCTCAGCCTCCTGAGATTACAGGAGTGAGCCACCAGTTCCCGGTGTGTGGCTAATTCTTAATTCCAAAGAAAGACTCTGCATAGCAAGAGAAAAGCTGGGCAAAAGTCAAAAAGACTTTTTCTTGCTTTATTTTTTGTTTCTAAAAATGCAGGTGCACATATGGGTGCAATGCTACCATTGAGCTAGAGGCGAGGGGAAGGATGGCAGGGGCCAGGGCAGAGCTGGGGTCCCTGGCTGGACTCTGTGTGGAACAAACAATACAGTAGGTTGAATCAACACTCCAGGATACGGACAGCCCTGGGTTCCCTAGGGCTCAAGCTGAGGCTGCCCTCCACAGGCCTGGATTGAAATCACACTCTGGTTGGGACTTCCTGTAGTTCCTTCATAGACTACTTACTTACAAGTTCTTGGCTTAGTGATTAATTCTGGGGAACAAAACTGAAGACCCTACTTGGTGAGGGTGTGTGTATGTATGTGAATTCACATGCATATACTTCATTACATTAATGTAATTTGGTGATGACAGTGAGTGCCTTATTTAAGGCTTTTTTTATCTGCGATTAGAAGTCATACTGATACAAAATGAACCACAATAAACACAAGCTTAATAATCAGGTTCAAATTTTCTGCTACTATAGATCAATGAAGTTGTCTCTCAAGAGATTATCTACTTTAATCTTTTAACCAATCTTATTAACTTTTCTTAAATTCACTTCTTTTAAACTAGTCTTACTAAGATTAACCAATCTTATTTTGAATACTTATATTTGAATACTTATATTTCCCTAACTAAAAAGTCCATCTGGCTACTATGTGGGAGGCAGGACAGCGTGGCTCAGATGAGCGTGGCTCCAGCCCCAGCCCCAGCGGACAGGCCTGGCCGCCACTTTCAGACCCTTTCGCACACCACCTATAGAGTGTGGGAACCCACTGGCTGATGTTCTCACACTGGAATCTGAGTTTCCTCATCTGTAGATAAGAGGAGAGTGACAGCGCATCCCTTCTGAGGCTGCCACAGAGATGAAGAACTCGACAAACCCAGGTTGCAGGGCCTGGTATGTGGAAGGGTCTCGGGAAATGTTTTCTGGCATGCCTAGTTTGAAATGACCATGGTGAGTAGCCATGGAGAGCACACTGCACAAGGTCAGGAGCAGGGTACACACCTGTAAGGTGGTGTCCAGAAGTGGGGTAGTCATTAGTAAGGTAATTTCAGGAAGTGGGGTACTCACTTGTAAGGTGGTGTCAAAGACAACGAGCTTGGAGCTGGTCGGAACGATATCGTAGCACTTGTGGGACCTCATGAATCGCATGTAAACGCCACTTTCTGAGTCTTCTGCTAAAAGAAAGTCAAAGTATTAGTAATAATAAAGAACTCACTGGGATATGCTAAATTAGACAGGATTCCAGATACACACAGTGAGCTCAAAGAGGATACTCGTAGGAGAGAAACACAGGGCACAAAGCCTATGTGCCGCTTCATGTTTACATTGAGAACTATACATATTAAAACAAACTCCAAGATAGGGAAACAAGATATCTTTTTAAAAAATTTTAATTTTTTGATGATTCTGCCTTTTCTTTATGTATAGTGTATCCCTTTGGGAGGGTGGAAGAGGGTACAGAACTCGAGGGAAAAAGAATGAAAAATGTGTAGCAGTGGAGCTCTCTGGACACTGATGAGAGTAAACGAGTTGTATACAACTCATGGGAGGAGATGGGAGGTAGGGACTGGGAGAGAGTGAGGGAACTAAAGACATGTACGGAAGGAAATGCGTCATTGTCTGACACATGTAATTTTTTTTTTTGGGGGGGGGGTCCAGTCGTGGGGCCTGAACTCTGGGCCTGGGCGCTGTCTCTCAGCTCTTCAGCTCAAGGCTAGCGCTCTACCACTTGAGCCACAGCACGGCTTTTGTCTTTTTGCTTATGTGGTGCTGAGGAATCGAACCCAGGGCCTCAGGCATGCAAGGCAAGCGCTCTACCACTGAGCCACCTTCCCAGCCCCTGACATATGTAATTGTAATCCTTCGGTATATCACCTTTACAATAACAATACAGTAAATTAACTAAAAAATAAAAATAAAGAACTCCCTCTCTCAACTGATGAAGAGCCCTGTGGAAAACACCCTATACCAATTTGCTGGGAGAGTATGAAGCAGCCTCTCTGAAAGGGCAGGGCTGGGAAAGGACAGAGCTCTCACTGACTGTCCTATGTGGCATTAGGGTCTCTGCTGGCGCAATGGGCCAGGGAGAAAAAGGAAGACTACAGGTACTCCATGTGCATGTGCCAGGGCTTCTGCAGAGGAAACTGGGAACGATCTGGGCATCATGGCAGGTGGCCATCCAGGTCCTCTGGGGGCAATGTTATTCCTAGGCGTTACTGCTGGCTCTTCTACCCAGAAGCCTAGCTGTTCAATCGATGCCTAAATAGGAGAACACAGGTTAAAGCAAGAGGATTCGGGCGTGGCAGCCCCAGCCCCTGCCCCATGGCTTCCCCTGTGTGTGGGGTGCTGTCCTCACTGGAGACACTGACTCTACACTGTCACGCAGCCACCAAGGACAAGAGCATGTGTGAGGCAGAGGTAGCAGAGGATGGATGGAAGCTGAGACATTTATTATCTCTCAGAAAATGGGAGTCCCACCAAGGAAGAGATGAAACACGGAAAGCCCTAAGAATATGGGGCCAGAAAGTTCTGAGCATTTCTGCCATGATTATTACCATGTACTTTCCCCATAGCTGGCTCTGTGGGGAATTTGTGGGTACACATGTCAAAGATGAGAGCAGCCTAGCTCACATTGCACTAATATTTAAGATACTGCCTATATTCCATTCACCTATATTCCATTCATTACAATGAATGAAACCAAGAGGAAATCTAACCATGGGAAAATGCAACAGCCTATTTCACAGAAAGGGAAAACAAAAACAGAAACAAAAAAACCCACTTCACAAGCCATTTTCTCCTTGTCAAAGATATCCCATATTATGGGTGTCCTTTCTACTCTAAGAATATCTGAGATAAAAAAATTTAAATACTACAAAGTAGGAATAGGTACATTCTCACAAAATTAGTCTTGTGTTAGATATATTTTAAAGCATACCACATCTTAATTCCTCTCTTGCCTTAAAAATATTTAAAGAAACATTGTACTATGACTTACAGAAAAGTTGCAAAGATAAAACAGGCCCTATATACCACATGCTAGCTTTCCCTTAGATTGAACTTCTTTAATTTACTGGTTTAGACTTTTTTTTTTGGCTGGTTGTGGGGCTTGAACTCTGGGCCTGGGCACTGTTCCTCAGTGCTTCAACTCAAGGCTTGCACTCTACCACTTGAGCCACAGCGCCACTTCGGGCTTTTTCTGCTTATGTGATGCTGAGGAATCAAACCCAGTGCCTCATGCATGCAAGGCAAGCCCTCTACCACTGAGCCACCTTCCCAGCCCCTAGACTTTTTATCACAATGACAAAATCCCTGAGGAAACAACTTACAGCATCAGGCCTTCTCTCAGCACAGTGTGGAGGTTTTGGCCCACGGCAGGCTGGGCCTATGTTTCTGGGCCCATGGCAAGACAGAGATTTACTCATCTCCTGGCAAGCATGTCTTAATCAAATCAAACTGATCACTGAGATTAACCACCAGAATCTTCCAGTCTACTTAACACTCAAATATATCCCTTTAATCCCTAATATACTCCTCAGCACCCCAAAGGCTGTATCCATTTCAAAGTGCAAAACATACCCAATCCAGCTCCAAGAATCTCCAAAGTTTAACATTGCCAGCATTGACCAGAAGTCCAAGTTTAAAGTCCTTTTTTTGTAAGCACTTGTAAATTTTTAAAATAATTTTTATTGAGATTAAGTGATTACATAAATCTTACAAATTTCACAGTATTGTGGGATAGTGATACTTAAAGTCACAAACACACTTTAACCTTCACAAGGCAAACTGTCATTATCATGGATTATAAAGTTTGTTAAGCTTTGACAATACAACTATTTCTTCCACATGGGGTGATATGTACATTTCTTTCCTTTTGCTCAGTGTCAGCTGTTCCCTCTTTCCCGTTCACTCCTTCCCTCCCATCACTGCCCTAGAGTTGCTTAGTTCATTTTCATCCATGTCCAGTGCAGATGATGGGCCCCTCTGTTGTTTATTTTCCCCATTTCCCTCTGATTCTGTGCCCTCCTCCTACCTTCCCTCAGATGTGCACACACACACACACACACACACACACACATATACATATATATACACACACATACCGTATATGAGGTCAAGAACATGGAGTTATTTAGAAATTATATGACAAATTAAGTAGATGTCCTTTGTTTCTCGAGTCCTGTTTACTTTGTCATATCTCCTTGCATTTTGGATTTAACAACCACATATCAGGGAGACCATGTGCTGTTTGTCTCTCTGCTCTTGGCTTACCTCACTCAACATGATTTGTTCTAAGTTCTATCCATTTCCCTGTGAATGCCATTATTTTGTCCTTTCTAATGGTTTCGTAACATTCCATTGTATATAGGTACAATTTCTGGATCTGTCGTGGGGCATCTGGGTTGTTTCCATATCTTGGCTATTGTGAACAGTACTTGTAAAATTTAAATAGCAAGTGTCATACTTCCAATCAATATACAATGGCACAGAGGGGAGGAATAGAGGCATAGAAAGGAGGCATGGGACTGAACAAAGGCCCAAACACAGCAGGGCAAACAGTAAACCATGTGGGGCATCACGAACATGGGGTTGTGACCAAGATCCAACCAGTGGGGTAGCCCCGCCCCTTGGGCCTTGCTGCGTGCAAACCTGGCTGACCTCCCCGGCCGTCTTCACTGGCTGCAAACCTGACTCTCCCGGCTGTCCTCACTGGCTGCAGTTTTCCTTGGCAGATGCTGCACGCCCCTGGCATCTCCACCGAATCTTCAGTTTCAATCTCAGAGACATCTCCTCTCAGAGGCTGCCTGCAGGGACTCTGACCTTGATACACAGTCAGGTGTCCCAGGCCTTCCTCTGAGATCTGGGCGGAAGGACTTGCAATTCTGAATGCCTGCAAAACCAGCATTGCATAGATGCCACTAAGGTCGACCACTGGTTCCAGTGGAAGCCAGGCCTCCTTGGACCACGGCTGTGCCTGAATGGCTAGGTATGATATGGGGAAAGACTTCCCTGGGTGGTTCAGGGCAACAGGATGCCCAAGAGTTCTCTTCTGAAGGCAGAGTCTTTCCTCTTGAGATGGATGTGGTCCAAGCAATTCCAGACAAGTGCTTGAGGCATCTTGCTATGTGTGGCTTCTTTGTAATGGCCTGTATCTCTCTCTTTTTTTGGTTGGTCGTGGGGCTTGAACTCTGGGCTTGGGCACTGTCCCTCAGCTCTTACAGCTCAAGGCGAGCACTCTACTGCTTGAGCTACAGCGCCACTTCCAGTTTTCTAGTGGTTTATTGGAGATAAGAGTCTCACGGACTTTGCTGCCCGCGCTGGCTCTGAACCGTGATCCTCAGATCTCAGCCTCCTGAGTAGCTAGAATTATAGGCATGAGCCACCGGTGCCTGGCGCCTGCAACTCTTCAGCAACCACATTTCCCTTGGTTTCAACTTTATACATGCTTTTTTTTTTTTTTTTTGGTCGGTGGTAGGGCTTAAACTCTGGGCTTAGGCACTGTCCCTCAGCTCTTTAGCTCAAGGCAAGTGTTCTACCCCTTGAGCCACAGCACTGCTTCTGGTTTTCTGAGTGGTTTATTGGAGATAAAGAGTCTCAGGGATGTTCCTGCCCAGGCTGGCTTTGAATTGCGATCCTCACATCTCAGCCTCCTGAGAAGCTACGATTACAGTTCCCACGCATTGTTTGTTGTTGTTTTTTTTTGGGGGGGGCAGTCCTGGGACTTGAATTCAGGGCCTGCACACTGTCCCTGAGCTTCTTTTGTTTAGGGAGGGCTAGTACTCTACCACTAGAGCCACAGCGCCACTTCCAGCCTTTTCTGTTTATGTGGTACTGAGGAATCGAACCCAGTGCATGCTAGGCAAGCACTCTCCCACTAAGCCACATTCTCAGCCTTAAGTTTCACTGAAGTGTGAGGGGCTGGGACCACCCAAGAGTGGGGGTTTACTGAATTACTTTTCATCTCCAGGGCCTGGCTTACTGGCCAGGGTATGTAGGTTGAAGATCTGCAGTCTTAGGAGCTGTTAGTTGACCCAGGTTGAATAGAAAGGAGGCTCTGAATCCTTAGGTGGTAGAGTTCACAAAAGCCTAATCTACTGTCACTGCATGACCTCAGTGGGCCACACACGAGGGGAGACAAGCTTAACGACGAAGCTGCTCTTAGAGACCCTGT